AGACGTGGCAAAAGAAATTGGGCGGGGCGGCGTCAACAATCTTTATTACTAAAGATTATAAAAACATAAAATTAAAAAAAATTTGCTTTCATATTCATAAATTTGTCTATTACGATTGGTAGCAGGRATAATGAGATGTCCAACTTATTCCAGTGTGAGAGCGCCTCAAAATAAGCGTTTTTATAACATTTTYCGCTATGGCCAGATAGAACAAAATAAGAATTTTTGGGCATTTAAATTAAAACACCCAACATTTATTACGGTTGCGAATTATTATTTGTGCATTTTAAAAAACCCAAATTTCAAAAGTTTGATTGAGGAGTTGAAATTCCAAATGAAAGTATTATATATTGATTTGGTCGCCTAGTTGACCTTGTGTGCCTCGACTTACAGCCGTTGAATATTTCTTGGATAGCAGTTAAATCACTGCGTTTAGTCTCTGCTAAAACGGCTTATTTTTGTTTTAATTTGAATGTATTTTGAACAGGGTTTTTTTGTATATTGCCTTTTTTGTAAATACAGGACTTTTTAATTTTGGCCGAGCACTAAATCCGGCTCGAAGGACAAAAAATTTTTCATTTGTTTTATGTTGCTAATATGCGGGAATATACATCCGTCTTACAATTATTATTTTCATTTAGTCAATATGCGGGAATATACACCCGTCTTACAATTTAATTTTGCCTATATTTATATTAATAACAGGGCTTAGTTTATTTTATTTGCCTGTATTTTTAATAATATCAGGCCTTTTCAAATTTGGCTAAACTCTTTCTTTTTTAGGCTCGATAGGACCAAATGTGATTACCTCAATGTAGTTTCTAACAGACCTTACCGTTGATGGAGAAAAAATAAAGACCTTATTTGAGGAAAGSATATACATATTTATTCTAATTTTTATTTGGTATTTTCATTATTTATATTCTATTTTAAAAAACTATCTTAAATAACAAAATATGTAGTAGTATATTGTTTATGCTGCTTGATATGGGGTAGTTTTGAAGTGTACAATTTAATACATGTGTGGATGTGTGTTTAATGCTATCTCATCTGTAAATTTATGACTTGTGTCACATATATTTTTATTATTATTAGATGTGCATTGCAGGTAAATACATGTGGCTGTTTATGTATACATGTAAGTATGTATATTAATATAAGTCTTCTTCCTACGCAATGAGAGGACCATTTTTGCTTCTTACAACTAAACGTTACTTCTATTTATACCATATTTGATAACTTAATTTTATACTATTTGTTGTTGCAGTCTTGACACCTGAGCTGCGCTGTGAAGTCACTTCTTGCTGATAATCGAAAGTTCGTCAACGGAAGTGCAYTTCCACAAGTGCACTAATTTAAGTAAAATTGGCGATTTCGTAATAAAAGTTATGTTCGCGCAAGTTACATCTCAGGTTACGTCAACTGACGGCATGCAGTTGTGCGCCACATCGCATGATCAGCCAGTACGTGACCAAAACAGCAGACTCGGCATATTTTGAGTCTGTTGGAATGTGTGGTATACATTGTGGCAGACTCGAGTTGCT